ATCAGCCAGCCAGGGGACGCCACGGGCCTGACCGTGAGATGGGTGATGCCTCTGTGACTGACCAGGGGCGGAAAGGCCTGCACAGGCAGAGTGAAGTGCGAACCTTCTGACAACTCAACATCTCCCAGCCTGCCAGGGCGGGCCCTGTGCTGGAAGCCTCATCAGGTGGCACACACAGATTCCAGCGGGCTGTGGCCATGCGCAACGGGGAGGGGACTCGGCCCTGCTGTGGGCATCATGATTTAGCAGGAAGGGTCCCCATGTCTGCAGCCCTACCCCTGCTGTAAGGAGTCCATGGGTCAGCTGGGAGTGGGGCATGGCCTCCTGCTCATGGGTGTCCCCGCTATTGCAGGCCACGTTCCCACAGCCCAAGCCTGGCAGTTCTCAGAGGGACAGAGGACACTTGAGTGTAACTAGTAACAGACGGAGAATGGCCGAGCTCAGCCCTTCTGGCTGGGTTGTCCTGAGGCTCCTTCTGGTGTGGCAGGAGCCCAGGGGACAGAGTAGGTGTCACCCATGAAACCACTTCTGGGTGCAAAAATCCAATGAGTGCTAAACTTCTGAATTCTAATTTAGCCTCTGGAGTCATCAAGAAGGACCCCTGGCCAAGACTGAGAGACAGGAACTTCAACGTTATGTCTGAGCATAGTTAAGTGGGATAAGACCTCCATCCCCACCTCTGCCCAGGAGCTAGGACCTGGACACTGGCTGTGGCCCAGTGGGAGGGAGGCTGTAGTCACACACTTCTACCTGCTAGCTCCTGGATTTATTTTATTTTTTAAAAAAGATGTATTTTACTTTTATTGGTAAGGCACATATACAGAGAGGAGGAGAGACATAGAAAGACCTTTGTTCACTGATTCACTCTCCAAGCAGCCGCAACAGCCAGTGCTAAGCTGATCCGAAGCCAGGAGCCAGGAACTTCCTCCCGGTTTCCCACGCTGGTGCAGGATCCCAAGGCATTGGGCCGTCCTCAGACCACAAGCAGTGAGCTAAATGGGAAGTGGGGCCACCAGGATTAGAATTGGTACCCATATGGGATTATGGTGCGTGCAATGCGAGGATCCCAACCACTAGGGTCCACTAAGCTTCTGTGCTGGGCCCTAGCTCCTGATTTTAAAGCGTTGAGCAACTATTGAACAATCACCACAGGGGTAGACTTGTGTCTAGGGGTGGAGAAGGCCTGTGGGCTAGCAGCTACAGACCTGTGTTGTGACACGGTGACCCCATTAGACCTGGGCACGGTTTCCCACCTGCCTGCTTGGCTCGACACACTTTAGAGTGGTCACCTGGAGCCTCTGACACATGAGTTTCTGCTCCGTTTTATCGTTCTGGGAGCTGAAAGATCTGGTCGAACTCCCAAGTGATGGCACCAGAGTTTGAGCGTACAATGTCCAATTTCCACCAGCCCGCTTCTCCAGCATGACCTGGTTCAACGCTGACCCAGCCCCAGGACGCTGACCCACCCCGGGGCCTCCCATGCAGGACACCTCCCACCGGCCACATCCTTGAGCACTTCAACGTCACAGGCCATCGGCTGCACAGAGATGGCGTTTTGCCTCGAGAAGGAAAATGATCAAATTCAAAGATGGCGGCTGGGAAGGGCCTACCCAGAGCCGAAGGCGGGGTGGGGCGAGGGAGAGAGCAGGTCTCCGACTGCCACAGGGGCCTGCTGCACGGCCAGGGCAGTGCCCCCAGCTCCTAACCCATGACAGGAACAGCTCATCAGAACAAAGACCCCCCTCCCAAACAACACTGCTAGGGGGAGGCTGGGGACACTGGCGGCCTGGGGACACGGGGCGTACATGCCCCAGGCAGGACAAGGGTGTTGACGAACAGGGACACACCAGTGCTACGGCTGCAAAGGGGGCCCTGGCAGTGCAGAGGGCGCGAGTTCTGGCCCCAGTGAGGCCCCAGAGGCCTTGCAGGTATCAAACCAGCCTGCGCCAACACAGGGCACCTGCAAGTTGATGACAGTGCCCGGGCAGTGTGCATATTCAGTGGCCGCCTCTGCTCTGAGCCCAGGATCTCACTGACTCCTCCCCAGGAGAGGGACCATGCATTCCAGGTCACTTGTGAGGAGCTGGAGGCACTGAAAAATGACGTGGCCGGTCAGAGGTCACGTTGCTGCTAAGAGAGCCGTGGCTCCCGGGGTCTGCTCTCCTGACCACCGGGTGACACAGCTTCCAACTGGCCATCCGACGACTGTCGGCTCTGCCTTCCACGACCAGCAGTGACAGAGATGGCTTCTCTCTGTCATCTGTGAAGGTGAGGCTCCTGGGATTTGGGAGGATTCCATGAGAGGACCACTGGGAGACTACTTCATTCCACACGACGCGTGAGGAGTGGTGCGACTCCTTAGGGTTTAACCCAAGGCTCCACCTGACTCTGCAGCCCTCTCCCAGCTACTCCTCCCCAATGCCCCGAGCCCAGCCTCCAGCGCTGCCACAGCCACTCACAGGGCCGTGCTCCCTGACCTCGGGGGGGTCCAGCACCTTCTCTTTGAGGCCCCTCCTTGAGTCCCGCTTCCACCCCCACCCTGGCCCGTTTGGGGCTCTCTTCCCACAGGCCCCTCTGGGCTTTAATAACCTGCTCTCCAGGCCTCCGCTTGGGCAGTGATTTGGGGTGTAATTACATGTTCACAGATCTGTTTCCCATAACAGCTCATCTGCGCTCCAACATGCATTAAACAAAACCAGGCTGGGGACTCGGGCGAGCGGGCCCCTGAGAGGCAAGGGCAAGAGCGTGCAGGAAGTGGGGCTGCCACGCTGCGCCCCGACACGCAGGCAGGCGGAACCAAGGTCAGCTGAGGCCTGCAACAGGAAGCCATGTCGAAAGCCTTTAACATTCCAAACGGCTCTTGGACCCAGGAGTCCCGCTTTTAGGAAGCATTCCTAAGGAAACAACTGGGAAAACAGAAAAAGAAAAAAAAAAAAGGGGGGGAGCCTAGAATCACCTCTGGATTCTGAGTGTGAAAGCAAACTCTAGGGTGGCACGGTAGCTGGCGGCTAAAGTCCTCGCTTTGCATGTGCTGGGATCCCATATGGGCACCCACTTCCTGGTGGTCCCACTTCCCATCCAGCTCCCTGCCTGTGGCCTGGGAAAGCAGTCGAGGACGGTCCAAAGCCTTGGGATGCTGCACCCATGTGCGAGACCCAGAAGAATCTCCTGGCTCCTGGCTTTAGCCCGGCTTAGCTCTGGCTGTTGCGGACACTTGGGGAGTGAATCAACAGACGGAATCTTTGTCTCTCTTCCTCTCTGTATATCCGACTTTGCAATAAAAATAAATCTTAAAAAAAGACCTCTAGATGTCCAGTTGCCCAGCCGCATGGTCAGTGTTATGGGGTGTGTGGAGCTGCCCTACGGGAGCTGGATGGTTCAGGTCCCAGCTGCTCCACTAGCCATCCAGCCCCCTGCTAATGCTCCTGGGAAAGCAGAGGGCCCACGTGCTCGGGGCCCCTGTCACTCATAAGGGAGACCTGGATGAGCCTCCCAGCCTCAGCCCAGCCCAGCACTGGCCACTGGGGAGTACATACACCTCTCTGCAACTCTTTCAAATAAATACATGGTTTTGAATAAGTACATGTCCAGTCACAAAGCAGTGGCAGAACTAGCCACAATGCTACCTCCTGCTGGTCCACATCACCCAAAGTGCTCCTCACGCTCCTCCCCTTTATTTTAGGGTGCAGAAGCCACGGCCCAGAGACCCCGAGGACAGCAACCACGGCGAGCAGTGGCCATCCTCCGCACCAGGCTCACGTTTCAGCTGTTTGGACCTTCTGGGTTGCTGACTGCCACAGCTGTGTAAGGGTGCCACTGCACATTGCCTGCCTATCACCAAGGGCTGGTGCCCACACATGTCAGTGACATGTCCATGTCCCCGTGCTCCAGGCACCAGCCACCTAGCAGCGGTGGTAGAGGTGACTCGTGGGAGCGGCCTCTGAGAGCCACTGGCTTTGCTTCACGAGAGGCTGTCCTCCTCCCCTGCCCCGCTTCCAGTCTGCAAGCAACCTCCGTTAGGGGCTGCGTGACGTCCCAGCCTTGGCTGGTGCTGGGCTAGCTCCAGTGCCTGCCACAGGGGCCTTGACTAGAAACAGGTCTTTGGGGGTGGACCTCATCTAATAGAATCGGTGTCCTGGTCACAAAGGGAAATCGGGGCACAAAGAAACACAGGACGCTAACAAGGTTGAAAGACACGGGGAGAACCCCTCCATGAACCAAAGACGTGCCTGAGGCGGCCAGGAGCGGGCAGTGTGGTCTGGAACCTTCTCCCTCCCGGCCCTCAAGAGGAACGCCCTGGCCCACAGGCTGAGCGAGGCCTCTGGAAGTGTGAGAGACCTGTGCCTGCTGTGCATCGCCTGAGCCACACATGGTTATTAGGAACTTGTGAAGGTTACAGGGCCCCCAGCAGGAATGGGGCCACAGAAAGCCATCTGCAGGACACACCATGGTCTGGGACAAAGGAGCAGACAAACCCACACCGACTGCCGGCTTACCACCTCGGGAAACCACGCCGGGCACGCAGACTCCAGGGTCACAGACCAGGAGAACCCCAATGTTCTCCACTGTTTCCCCACTCCTCTGGACTGTTCCATTATTCTAGCACATGTGGACTTATAAACTTCTACCATTGATTTAAAATGCACGACAGGCAAAGGATTAAGAGCAGAATTATGTTGAAGAAACTCAATCCCCAGTATGAAATGTGACTGCATTGCACCGCCCCCCCCCCCACACACACACGGAGGAAGGCCCAGGTGACATGCAAGGTGCGACCAACCACCCACTAGCCAAGGACAGGGCGTCAGAAGAGCTCCAGCCTGTTGACAACTTGGTCTCAAGACTTCCAGCTTCCTGAACCATGAGGAAATAACATTTCTGTGTCATGAGAGCCCCAGCAAACAAACGCCAAGAACTGACCCAGAGCAGCTGGCCTTCCCCAGCTCCCAACTCGGCCGCCGACTGGGCTGAGACGGGCAGGGAGGGCAGCACTTACTCACCCAAGCAGTTGTGTCCATCATGTGCCAGCATGAAGCCGTCGAAGCAGGTGCACCTGTAGTTGCCCGGGATGTTGATGCACTCGTGGACACAGCCCCCGTTGTAGTAGTCGTTCTCACATTCATCAATGTCTGCAAGGGGAGGGCACGGGGGACGTCAGAGCGGGGAGCGTGGGGTCCCCTCTCCCACGGGGGACGTCAGAGCGGGGAGCGTAGGGGGCCCCTCTCCCACGGGGGACGTCAGAGCGGGGAGCGTGGGGGTCCCCTCTCCCACGGGGGACGTCAGAGCAGAGGGTGTGGGGGTCCCCTCTCCCACGGGGGACATCAGAGCGGGGAGCATGGGGGTCCCCTCTCCCACGGGGGACGTCAGAGCGGGGGGTGTGGGGGGTCCCCTCTCCCACGGGGGACATCAGGGCAGGGACGTGGGGGTCCCATCTCCCACAGAGATGTCAGAGCGAGGAGTGTGGGGGTCCCCTCTGCCACAGAACATGTCAGAGGGTGAAGTGGGGGATCTCCTTTCCCACCACCACTGAAGTCAGGGGACGATACAGTGCACAGTCTCTGAAGCCTTTCCTGGGCGCTGGGAATGCAAGGATTAGAACAGTGAAGACCCCGGGCCGTTACCAAGGCTGGCCACTGCTGTGAGGGGCAGGGCAACGCACTGGATCTGTGGGGGTGCCCTTCACCCCCCACCACCCTCACCACTTCTGAGGGTCCTGTCTACTAGTAACCCCCCCCCAAAACAGCTCTCCTAAAGCAGGAGTTCTCAGTGAACTCAACATTGCCTGCCGACCCCCGCCCCTAAAAGTAGAACCCCTGGAATAAAAGAAAAGCCTGCACGCCCTCCCCCAACCAGTCTCCTTCCACATGCTTGACTCAACCAGCCCAGCTTCCTTGTTATAACAAAAGCTTCTGTCTCATAAACAATGGCCGGCAGCCTTTGCAAAGGTCACCCTTTTCGCTGTTTCAAATCTTTCTCAACATTTCCCATCAGGGGTCAGACGGCCCATGGGGCCTCGAGTAGCATGGGGATTTGGGAGACCTGGGGGAGCGGCAGGCATGTACCCAGGCACTGTCCCAGGCTGCACCATTGTCTTCAACTTGCACACTCAGGTGGGGCTGCACACGGTGCTGCCGCTGACACCAAGGCACACAGAGGGACCAAGACCTGGCCGAGGTCACACCCCTCGGAAGCACTAAGGAGAGCCTAACCCCCACGACCCGGCCTGTCGGGTACGGGCTGGACACGGGCGACCCTGCCATGGACAGCCCAGAGTTTATTGTCCCTACTCTTGGGTTTGTCCACTTACTTCCCCGCTCCCCAAACCCAGCCTAATCTCCACAATCTCCAGGATGGGCAGGCAAAGGAGGGAGCCGGGGCCGGAAGTCTCTGGCTCCACGGAAGCAGGAGTGTCAGGGCTGAGCTACCTGCGCAATGGCGTCTGCATCGGCTGGAAGCAGGCTGACTCTGTGCCTCCTCTGGCTGTGCTTAATCGTGCTAACGCTGGAGGAAATGCGGTAAAACACACAGAGACTAGACCTGACGTGCGTTGAAAGGGCACACGGCCTAGGAAGGCTAGGGGACACCGGATTACTGCCCAGTCTCTCTTGGCAGCCGGCACCTCTGTCCAGAGCCCAGATCCTCCAAGCCCTCCATCTCACCTCTTAACCATAGATCTCCCCAACATCCGAAAGCCAGCCTCACCCAGCGTTCCCTCGCCGACCTGCCCTTCCTTGGGGAACCCCATCCCAGAGTAACGTCGTCCATCCGCGATATCCAATCACACAGAGATGTGCGTATTTCTGCGCCCTTGACATGGCTGTGGCCTGTGCGCTGGTCACCCACTCTCCGACCTGTCCACCACAGCATGTCCTCTCACGTGATCCCAAGCCGCCCCCTCGCTCTGTTCCTCCTTCCCTTCCAGCAGGTGACTTAGTGGCAGCAGACCCGGTCTACCTCTGGGGGTGGAGTCCACTGTTCCAAATGGCACACACCTCTAGCAGTGCTGCTGCTCCCAGCAGATACACTATGACACTGGATCAGGCAGGCTAAAAGGAAACGACTCTCCCACTGTCACAAGAGGACACGTATACTGTCCACTCCTGGGACGCACAGCAGCCTTTCCAAGTCGGTGTTTTAACCCCCTTTTAGGGCTGAGCAAACCAAGCTGCACAGGGTTTGGGTGACTGCTCCAGGTCACACAGTAAGTGGGAGGACCAGGATCAGAACCAAGGGCTTTCTGTCTATAAAACCCACTTCCTTTCGCATGAGTCAGAAAGTCCATGACCCTCCAGTTGTCAGCAAACTGCTTTAGATGGTTCATTTCACCTCGGGAACATTTATACTGCATGCAGAGGAAGTTTTAGCCAGTCATCCAAGTTCCCGTCCGCCCATGTGCCCGTCCTCTGTCCCACATCTGTCCATTTGTACACACATCCATGCCAGCCACCCCTGCCCCCACTCATACAAACTCTCTTCCACCCACTCACTATTTACCCCACAACCCATTCAAATGCCCACCTATTTATCCATTTATCTACTTGCACTACCATCTTCAACAAAATATTTAGCTCAACACCTTTCCATCCACCCAATCGCCCACTCACGCATCCACACATCTCACCTAAGATCAACACAACCCAAACACACACTTGTGCGGCCATCCAGTTCCAGTCATTTGGATGCCATCTTCCCATTCATCTCCCCATTATCCAGGCATCCCTCCCAACCTCCAACCAAAGCCATTGCTGCAAACCCCATCTTTCTGTCACACACACACACACACACACACACACACACACACACACACAGTCATTTCTCCATTCACTCCTCCATACCCAAGCTTCACTTCACCTACCCAGCCATCTACCCAGGCAGCTTACAAAGTGCAGAGAATAACATTTGTGAAGACAATGAAGAGAAAGAAAGAGAGGTTCAGATAAAGCAGTGACAGATGTAGCCATGCATTTTGGGGTACCAACACAATTATAAATCATGGGCCACAGCTTCAGTTCTCAACTACCTAAAAGCCAAAGCAAAGGAAAAAAAAAAATCCCGACTGGAGTGACTGTGTCCATAAGATGCGATGAAGCCAGTTGTTTCCCTGGTGATGAGGTCTGAGAACCCCAAACGTCTCCCAAGCAAGGGTCTGCCTACACTTCTGATTAGACTAGTCATGGGAGGTGAGCTGTCCGCACGGCTCCAGCTCTAGTGCCCAGGCAGAGGAGTGAACCCCAACCTTCCATTCTCAGAACGAGCCATGACATGACCAGCATGGCAGAGCACATGGAGCTGTCGCAGAGTGGCACTCCAGCTTCTGCCTGCCTTGGGGACAGCAATGGCCCTGAAGACCCCAAAGGCACAGTGTCCACTGCTGACCTTCTGGAACCCAGCTCCTGAAATATCTCCCTGAGGCCTGAGCTTCTCTCTGGATCCCCCGCTTTGGCGGTGGCCTCTGCCCACGACCCAGACTTTCCTTGGTGTTCCCTGGGGGGGTTCCATGAAGGTGGGTGCCTTCTTTACTTAAACACACAGCTCAAGGACAAGCAATCTCTTCCAAAGCAAATAGGTTTATTACGGTAAGTCACACCCCAAAGTCAACACCCCTGGAAGAAGCTTCACAGCCCCCAAGACCTCTGCTGGGCTCCAATGACTCCAGGAGTGTTTTAGCCAGAAAGTAAGGACAGGCAGACGCGGGCAGAGAAGCCAGAGGGACAGGAATTCTTCAAGGACCATCACAGGTTGAACTGTGTCGCTCAGAAGGATGACACTCAAGTCCTAACCTCCCGTGCCTGAGACATGACCTGGTTTGCAAAGAAGGTCACTGTCGATGGGATCAAGGTCACAGAGGGCTGCACGGGATGAGGTGGGACCTAGTTCAGCAGCCATGACCTTCTGAGTAGAGATGGCACTCAGATACATGCTACGTGAGGACACACAGGGACATGGGGACACGGTGAGGACAGCCGAGGTTGTGGTGGCAACAAGGGATGACCTCTAGGAAGGCAGAGAGTGGACAGCACAAACAGCCGGGCCACGCTCGGAGCTCTGAGCCCTGGAGGCGTCCGGCCGGCCACTCCTCAGGTCCCCTCCCCCAGCCTGGTTTGTTTTTTTTTTTAATAACGGAAACTCAATTTCCAACCGAAGACGACAGCTTCCGACGTCTAACGGAGCAGAGAGGAACAGCTCAGGGAACCGTTCATTATGGGATTTTTGGAAAAGTTACCCCGCCCCACTTTGCCTGTGTTCAAAGTGGCAGCGTACGCACACAATCCCGCAGCTGTGGGTGCGTGCCAATGACACGGGCCTGCCCGGAACCCGAGCCAGATGGGAATGGCTGCTCATTTAATTAGGAACCGACTCCAGGCATGCCTGCGAGGTGCCCGCTCCTTTGTGATGCCCGCCTTCTCTCACAACTCCACTGCAATGAACCAGAGGTTCTCCTCTTTACTTTAACCCCATCTCAGGGCATGGCCCCAGACCAGCCTCCTGAAGGTGCTCTCACATCTCTCCCTGCCCCCACTCCCCCCAGGACTGGCATTTGTCCGGACACTCCTCCTCCATGGCGGGGGCCGGATGAAAGTGCTAACAAAGACCCCTTCCCCGCCTGGGCACCCGTAGGCAGGCTCCCCCCCCCCCCAACCCCACTGCCTTTGTCTGGGTCTTTAGGGAAAGCTGTGCACTCCTTAGATCAAGCAACCATTCTGGGGAGAGATGCATGGCTTAGGAAGTGGAGTCCTTATTAGCGAATAAATCTTAATCCAGTTTGTTGGCTAATTACGCACGAGGGAAGGGGCTTTCTCAGGCTGCCCCGCAGGAAGGATTAAGGCCCTGTGTCCGGGGGCGCAGGGTTAAGCTCCAGGTTTGTAATGATGGAGTAATGAGCGCAGACCCCCACAGCCATCGATCAGGTTTCCTGTCCACCGAGACAATGCCAGAAGTGGGCCCAGCAGTTAATTACGGGAGAGGTCAGAGGTCGTGCAAAACCAACACAAATCCATATACTTTTTCATTCCTAACTGCACACAATGACCGTGGCTCCGCTGGAGGGTGGGAAGGGTGGGAAGGTCCTTCCCCTGCGATCTGCAACAACCGTGGGGTTCAAGCTCCCCGTGACCTCTCCCAGTCTCCC